TATACAAAGTTATAAAAAAAAATTTTAATAAAATTGTACTAAAAATATTCTATAATATACAGATAAACACACCAAATAATAATTCTCTTTTCGTTGTATAAACATATTTATCTCCTATTTTCCCTCAAAAAAAATGTGTTTCCACATTCTTTTCCCGTACATACTGTATCTTTTTTTTCACTTGAAACTTCGTAGACATGCCCCCATTTCTCACAAGGATTTTAAATGTAATCGCTTATATTTGTTTCTTGGGCACTAATCTTTATTTCGGCCTTGGTCCTCACAATGTACGTATTATTCTTGAATTAGAATGTGAGAAAGTGATGAAATTCACGTGTAAGGTTGATACTAATTCTTTCTTTTACTAATAGAATAAATCCCCGTATTTTGATACCCACCCTACCTATATTACCCCAGCCTCTTTCACTTTTAGCATTTGGGGTCTTATTCATTTATTTTTAGGGGGTTTTGGTAATTATTTAAATTGAGTATACAATATCTATCTTTTCTACAATTTATTTCGTAATACTTGGCAGTCAGACCTCCCTAAATGCAATGCAGCGGGACCATATATAAAAATTTAGTCATACGCGCACTTAGAGAGGTATTTCATTTAAGGAGGTAAAAATCTATAGATGTAATATTAGTTGGGCCAAGAAAATATTGCATCTAGGGAGGTGTTTTATAGGATGTGTACTTAGGGTAGCATTTAGCATTTAGGGAGGTCTGACTGTATATAGTAATTAACATTTGATATACGTGATATTTCTTATAGTCATCTACCAATTCTTCACTCCTACCAAGGAAATCGTTGTTGAAGGCATTCATTGGCATTTCATATCCATCTCACTCTGGAACACTGCATGGCTCATTCTTTGGACCTATGATTTCCTTATTCTTTCATGGGTTGCCATTCTCATTACCATTCTCCAAGTTAGTTTCATTTACATGATTCTCAAACTTAAATATCCACCTCATAACATTGGTGATGAACTTTGGATTCAATTACCATTTTATCTTTATCATGCTTGGATTGCTGTTGTCTTTCTCTTGAGTACTTTTGCCGCTTTTGCTCCTGAAAAATTACCAGACCAAGAACCAAGTCTTTCCATTAAAATTTTGGTTTTTTCAGTATTATTCGTCCTTGGAATGCTTGCCATTGTTTATGCTGAACAATTCAATTTTTTTGGTCCTATTGTTATTGCTTGGTCATTATTTGGTATTGCTGCCGGTCAAGAAGATGTATTTATTCATTGGTCTGCTATTGTCATTGGCACTATTTCAGCACTGTACATCCTTAAACCTCTTGTCTTTAAATACTTCATACGTCGATCAGATGATATTGATCATGCTCCTTTGTTGGGATAGTTTTAACTATCCCAGGGTCGCCAACAAAATTTTGCTGCCACGTGATGATACGAATAATCTACGTACTGTACACCAAGAAACTTTCAATATCACCAATTACCATATACATGTATAATATACCTTTTTCTTTTAATGATATTAAAGTTCATGTTTATTTAAAACATCTATAATTACAAATTAATACGTACGTGCTTAAATCAGAAAATTATAAATGCCCGTTAAATTAGCCTTAAAACGACGGTGTGGATATTTTAACTGTTGTTATTTTTTTAAAGCTGTTACTCGGGTAAGGTTGACCTTTTCAGATCAGTAAATATGACGGTTATATGAGTTCACAAATAAAAAGTCAATTTTAATATTTATTGTTATGAAAAATTATATCTATGCATTACATAACAGCGTTAATAAAAAAAAAATCTAAGGTGAGTGTGGGTATTATGACGAAGCTAACACTTCCTACTAATAAAAGTTAAGCAAAAAATTTTTTTGATAATTTTTTTTAAATTTATTTGAATTTTATCTTGCTTAACAATTTTATATAAAAAAAAAATCGAGTTTTATATAAACTATGTAATGTTACTTAGAAGGCTACGATTTTTAATTTCGTGAGGGTATTATGGCAAACGTGTGTAAAATCGATGATCTTTTTCATGTGACCTTGACCTTGATGATTTTCTTTAATTGAAACTAGGCGCTTGACATGTTTAAAGGGAGTTATAAATTTGGTGTGTTTATCTGTATATTATAGAATATTTTTAGTACAATTTTATTAAAATTTTTTTTTATAACTTTGTATA